TGAGTTGCACTGGCATTCGCTTGTCGCATAGAACTCCTGTGAAGGTCCTCCATTTCATCCAGGATGCGTTCCTGGCAGATATTTCATCTTGAAGACCTCCTTCGCCAGAGATGCAACTTCCTAAGTACTTGAAGGTACTCGTTTTCTTGAGTGGCTTCCCATCGATGTATATGGTTTCTGAAGCCTCCCACTTCCATATATTCTGTCTTCTTTATGTTGATCTTAAGCTTTTGTCATTACTTGATCCTTCCTCTCTGCACCTTTTCTTCAAGCTCTTTGTTTTCTGCCATCAACACCACATCATTTGCATACAGGAGAGCCCGTGGAGGCTGTCGCTTGAGACCTTCCGTCACTGCATCCATGACTGTGATGAAGAGTAGAGGAGAGAGCACCTATTCCAGATGCACGCCGGTCTTTATGCGGAAGGATTTTGACTGTCCTGCCGCGGTTTGCACTTGGCTCGTGGCTCCGTGATAGACCATTTTTATCCATTGGATGTATACTTCTGGAACCATGAGCTTTCGCAGCGCCCACCGCATAACATCATGGGGTATCTTGTCGAAAGCATTCTCCATATCAAAGAAAGCCGCATGTAGCTCTCTTCGTTTTTCTCTATACTTCTCCACCACTATCCGTACAGTATGGATGGCGTCAGCAGTATCGGCACCCTTTACAAATCCGCACTGATTGGATGGCAACTCTATGATCGCTCGAAGTCGTGTTTCAAGTACTCTTTTGAAAACCTTTAGAGTGTGGCTCATCAGTCGGATTGGCCGATACGTTGAATAATCTGCGATATCGCCTTTATTTTTCCATATCGGAATCGTTGTGCTGTTTGACCAATCATGGAGCATGCTCTTAGCCTTGATGACCTGATTGAAGTGGCTTGCAAGCAAGCACCAAGCCATCCGCATTCTTTCAGAATTCGCTTAGTATGTCATCTGAGCCAAAAGCCTTGCCGTTCTTTGTCCTTGCTATAGCAAGCCATACTTCCTCTGCCGCTATGAGTGGTACCTGTCCTTTCACAAGGTCAGTGGTGGGATGGCTGTGCTACTGCTGGTAGTAGACGAAATTTCTTCGAAGTACGTTCGCCATCTCTCAGTTATTTCCTGTGGTCTTCTTAACTTTTTCCCAAGCTTATCCTTCACATGGTAGAAGTGTTCCATATCTTTTGCGGACTCG